CTGCTCATCTGCAGCTGAGAGACAAGTCGCCAGTTAAAGGAGACTAACTACAGGCTCTATAAACATACACACAAACAGAGAAATGCCTTTTATAAAAGAGGGGATGCTCATAAAATAAACCTAAACCTTTCGGATGTACCGCCATCTCATCCTCTGAAAAAAAGGGAATCAGGTCACCAGAAGAAGCTCGCCTTTCTTCAAGCGCGCTCTAATGATACTCAAGAATCTGACAAGACTTTTGTGAAAAATCTTTCTTCAAGGGCCCTTTCCACCACAGAAACTCATGTCTCGGCAAAAGGAAAAAAGTTCAACCTTACTACCACAAAACCACCTATTGCGTCAACGGCAACAGCTGTCGGGGAAGGCCTGCATCAAGTAGACCCCGGCATCCGTGAAGAAGCACGCCTGAAGGCTATTAGCGTGCTCTCCAAGGTACAGCGAAGATCGCGTATAAACTACATGACAGAAGAGAAAGCAGCCATCAAGAATCTGAAGGAAGATAAGAACATTGTCATTCTGCCTGCCGACAAGGGGAATTAGACAGTGGTTACGGACCGTACCGACTATGACGACAAGGCCCACAAACTTCTTGCCACCACTGCGGACATGACGTTGCCTAAAGATCCGACTACCAAGATCCAAGCAACTTTAGACAAGACTCTTTCGTCGATTTTCGGTCAATATCCGGATTCCCGAAACCTTTACCCGAGTCTTATTTGTAAGAACGGGTCCACCCCTGCATTCTAGGGCCTCCCAAAAATCCACAAGCTTAGTGTTCCACTTCGACCAATAGTGGACTTCACCACATCACCGCTACATACGTTATCCAACTACCTACATCGGTTGCTGTCACCGCTCACGGGGAAGACAAACACGTACATGCACAACCCCGGCCATTTCATCGAGCTCACCTCCGGTCTCAAACTGCACGATGACGAAAGTCTCGTGTCCTTCGACGTGGTGCCTCTATTTACAAGTGTACCTGTGCCTCTTGCGGTGTCTGTAGCGAGAACGGCACTGTCGTCTGACACCAAACTCTCCGAAAGGACTTGCCTCTCCATCAATGAGATTTGCCGCCTTCTGGACCTCTGCTTAACCAGCACCTATTTTTCTTTCATAGGTCGATTCTACAAACAAACTAGTGGAACCGCAATGGGTACAGCAATTTCCGTCATCGTGGCTAACCTCACGATGGAAGCGACCGAGCGGCAAGCCTTACAGACATTCGCCCCGAAACCCACCTTGTTCTTACGGTATGTCGACGATTGTTTCTGTGTGGCCAAAACCAGTGAAATCAACAACCTTCACCCTCACTTAAACTCCATCGAACCGGCGATAAAATTTACAATTGAGCTGGAGTCCGACTGTTCTCTTCCCATTCTTGGGCGTGCTCACGAAGAGAAAGTCCTACCGTATGACATTCAAAGTTTACAGAAAACTGACACACACCGGCCAATACCTGAACTTCTCTTCCTACCACCCTGCAACGCACAAATCTTCGGTGGCTTCCGCACTCTTCAGGCCAGCAATTACTGTCTGCTCCACTGAAGAGGCTCTTAAGAAAGAGGTTACAACGATCAAACACGACCTAAAACAGAATGGCTATCCTCCCAGGTTTTTGAACGTATACAAAAAACATAGACAGAAGGAAACAAAAGACGCCCCTCCTTCACCCAACCGCGTATACGTCCAGTACATCAAGGGCCCAAGCGAGACTCTCGCGCGCGTTTTACGAAAATACGGCGTCAGTGTGACACATAAACCGGTGTCCACCATTGGACGCCTCTTCTCGCTTCCAAGGATCGTCCCCCTAAAGAAAGGGCTCAGGGACTCGTCTACAGGATCCCGTGTAGTGACTGCGCTGCCTCCTACGTTGGGGAAACTAAAAGCTTCCCGGAACATCTACGCCAGCATCAGTATGACATTGAAAAGAATTACGCGCAGGGCAGTGCGCTGGCAGAACATGTCCAAAAAGAGGGTCACACAATTGGATTCAATAATTGCTCTATTCTTGGCACAGAAAGAAACTGGCAAAGACGCCTTTTATTAGAGTCCTGGTACATCCAGAACGCCAAAAATAACGTCAACCGGTCAGCTGGGACACTGCCAAGCACCTACGTGTCCGGTTTGCGGTGCGTCACGCGAGACGCTACGAACCATAAAGCGCGTACAGATATAACGGCCGTTTTAAAGAAGCCAACAACACCGGGCAATTTGCAAGACGACGACAAGGACAAAAACAGTCACCCGTGATCAAGGGGCCAAACTGGCCTTGAAACGTCAGGCTCCGTATCAATTTTTGGTTAGAGTTTTCCTTTCATTCAAGAGGGGATGCTGCTTAAATAAAGGCTCCCCTAAATTTTCCGTGTATCACTGGCGTGCATTAGCCCACCCGCGCTTGGCTGTTTACGCTGCTGTGCGGCGAGTTTACGGTGGTTCATTACTCAATTGTTAGTCCAGCTGGCCCAACCATTCATGCCGCCTCACGGTGGCAGACAAATTTGCTAAAAGGAGGCTCATCGCCATTTTCTCTAAACCAAGCTTCTCTACAGAGCAATTTGATAAACTGGGCACAGTAAAACAATGTTTTCTAAAACAAGCTTTTCTAGACCGTATGCCTCCGAATCCGTCACAGTTGATCCACATTGCTGACCACATGAGCCCATCAATTAAAATGTCAAGGGAGTTTTTTTTTTTTTTTTCTAATTTCTAGGAGCAGAGCCAAGTCTGTAAATTTCACAATGACCCAACAAAATACTCCTTTATTGAAAGTTTGAACTCGTTGCGGGCAGGTGTTGATTTTTTTCGGCTGGTTTCAGAGTGTACTTCTCAAGTCATAACAGCCTTGCACCTACGTCACATGACGTCAAACACCGGTAACCACCATGATCATGGTCGTGTTGACGGTAGACGGCCATTCACAGCGAGAGCCATGGCAAGCTGTGCTGCGCTTGGCTGTAGCAGTTGCTACGTATTCCTTCAATCACTTCGTCGGCACGGCCTGGACAGAGTAGCCATCAAATTAGAGAAAGTATGAGCAGCAGGGAAGGGACGCGGCTCCGCAATACCGAGTTTGCGAGATGCATTTCATAGCGGCGAGCGACGGCCCTTCCCTAATGTTGTTTACGTTCGCGCACGCCTTTGCATCGGCTTTGCCCGTTTGCGATGTAGATGCCCTTTGCCTTTCGTTTCATCAAGCCTTTTCCACGCTTTGAGTGCACCTTTGGGGCCCCCTGCCGAGCACGGCCAGACGGCGATGGCCCCTGTGTGCACATTTGCCGAGATGACGCGTTCAGGGCATCGGCTTGTGCGTCTGTGACATGGTAACCTTTGCAAGGAGCAAATGTATGCAGGCGAGCTGGTTAGTAAACATAATAATCTAAACCCCGAGACAAGGAGAGCAGTCTATTATTTTATTTCTCCGTGTCTCAAGGTTTAGATTACAACAGTAACAGTGCATTGTCTACCAGTGGTTTGCAAAAACCTTACAGATTTTACTACAAGCAGCCCTGGAAGCCACACAAAAAATTTTAAAATGCGCAATGAAGCTTTTTTTTTTTTTTTATTGACACAAGTTCTTAGCGTCATAACTTATCGGTATTATGTCGAAAGTTCCTGCTCGCGGCACAATCGCACCAGCACCGGAAAACCTAGCACGTACTGGCTGAACGTCATTATCGTAAGCTCGGCATGTTTTACCAAGTTCACATGCAAAAAAACTAGGTACCCTTCTTGAAAATATGCAGCATGTCAGCGCATGTCCGTCCAGTTCGTGGCATCCTATGCCTTGGCAAACGCACCCGCGCAGTGTGAAGTCAACCACCAGCATGGTGCAATGCCCCATCCTTCCCTAGCCTGTCGTCACCGTGCAAGGCACGCATTTACCAGCCTCATTAGAACTTGACACGATCCAACATTACAAAAAATTATAAACTTCATTGTAAGCAGTGAGAGAGTGCAGGCGAGCTGGTAAACAATCGACATTGTGTAAACCCTGAGATGGGGAGCAATAAAAAAACGGACGAACACAACAAAATCTTGTTGTGTTCGTCCGTTTTTTTATCGTTCCCCATCTCAGGGTTTACAAGATATAAACTTCATACGCTAGGATATGGCTTTGACAGTCTTGTCAAAGCTTGGCACGATTTAACACCCATGCATGGTTTAAGACACTTTGTTACACCAAGAGTCACTCCTTTATGACATTGCAATATTAATAAACTTCACAGGCTAGAATACGAGTTTCATAGCCTTGTCAAAGTTTGGAGTGATAAAACACTCAATTCCATGCATGCCCCGCAGTTGAGCCGTTTATCCTTCATTGCATCGTAATAAAAACAATGCAGTGTCTACAGTGCCGTCCCATGAAGCTCTTGCAGAGCGTTCATGGGTCGTCCAACGGCACTTCACGTCCACATTCGTATGTTGTCCTACCGAGCAAATTACCTTTGGTGAAGAATGTCTTGCTTTTGGCACTTTGCAGCCAAACTTTGTATGCACACTTACTCTCTACTTCTTTTGTGTTAAATGTTTGCTTATTATGTGTATACTGAAAATGGCACTTAAACGCTCCGCAAGAGTGCCTAGACACAACCTAATTCCAACTTCGCAGGTGGGTAGCGCTAGAGGTCACAACCAGATGCCAAAGTTTCAGCCCGATCCGATAACTTAATCAAAAGTTATAAGTGATTTTCTGAAAATTTCAACGGGAAAATGGCGGCCGACGGAGTTTTCGAATACGTGGTGCTCTCTGGCACCAGAAACCGCAAACGGGCAAAAATGAGTTCCATTTTGCCACTGAAAATTTCAGAAAATCACTTATAACTTCTGATTAAGTTATCGGATAGGGCTGAAACTTTGGCGTCTGGTTGTGACCTCTAGCGCTACCTTTGGGCGGAGAATACGTGTTCGGCGATGCCTAGTTTATTTTTGCGGTGAAGAAAACCTTGTAAGGTTTCCTTTGCGACACCCTGCACTTGGTCCCACCCGCGGAAGCTTACCTTGCGTCGTACGACAACTGGCATGCGATGTCGGGGTATGTTGTCCAGCTTGGCGCACAACACCTACCAGCCCTACCAGCTGTCGAATTCGCGGTTTGAACCATGGCGCTGACTTTTGTTTGTTGCGAGATTGGGGACGCCCGGCCACAAGTTCAGCGAGCCCGCCAATGGAGTTGTCAAGGGTGTATCGTGAATGCTTCGATGACCGAGGTACTCACGGGCCCGCCGTTGCTCGTGACATGCTCATTAAGGCAGGGCAATGCGGGTGAAGCTGGTAAAACTACGGAAGTGGGAGCTTATCCCGCGCCTTCGGTGTCCAACAGATGGTCAACACCAGTATCACGACAAAATCGGAAAACATCAAGAGGTGTGGATTGGATTGGATTTCAAGCTTTGCAAGTTTTTGCGCAGAGGACTTGAACTTCTTTTTACCCAAAACCCCCTAAAACAAACATTAAAATAAAGTTATTATTGCAAAACACTTTCACTCTAGTAAAATAATAAGCGAATCAAAAAACTTTTGTTGGTTTAGCTGCTCATGGGAACATTAGCAACTACTGTTCCGGCAACAATGGAGGCATTACAGAGCGGGAAATTTAAAAATGTCATCCTAGCGGAGACACGACACACGTGCAAAAAGGGGACCGCAGGAAAAACAACAAAATCGTTTGTAATGCCTGGTCCTTTTTTAAATTTTTTTTTTTATTTGTGTCTTTAGGTTTAGCTCACCTGCGCGCTTACTCTCGGGTTTCTACAGCAAGCTGACAAGTGACAATATTCGCGTTTGAAACACGAAACAGAAGTTACTTTTTTGACTGTGCAGGAGGTAGTAGGTATGCTACTGATGTGGACAGGCTAAGAGTTATAGGGAAGCTCCTCCCACCTCTCCCCACTTTAGCAGGGCGAACGCTGGAGAGGAGGCGACCTCCTTTGCAGAGTTCACCCTCCGAAAGTAGAGAGATAGGTGGGACTTCTCCTGAACTTTTAACTTTTCACCCACTATAATTTCTTCAGACAAAACCTCTCAATTAACAATAAAATTTCCAATGAAAAAACAAAACAACCAAGATGTGTGGTAGAAAATTGACACAGTATTACGGCACAATACGGGTCCATGCTCACATTTTTTTAATGCAAAGACTAAAACACCACTGATGACAAGTCACACTCTAGAGTCTAATTGAAAATTCAATCATCAAATAACCAGTGAGATCAGTAGATGCCTGGAGCATAGTCGCACGCTTTGCCATCAACAGATAAACATACTGCACAAGTCTTCTCAAAAAGAGTTTTTCAGCACGGTTGACCCACAAATTATGAGAAACAGCTGCTGCCTCTTGTCCGATACATTGTGTATGCCAGGCTGGTTCGAATCCAAGCCTCCAGATTTGCAAACGTGTTCAACTGTCTCGAGCAAGGTTATGAATAGGCATGTCTAGTTTTCATTTACGAAATCACACTGATGAATACTAAATATTGAGTATTATAATGAACCAATGCAACATTATCCATACTGATAAGTTTATTGGTCCTTTTTGGATGTTTGCACGCAAGAACTACAGGCTTATTAAGCATTTTGGACACTTGTCATAGAAATGCTGCCCTGTCAGGAACTCCTGAAAACTAAATGAATAAGAGTGAATTTCAAACTGTTCTTACTGCCATGTTAATTTTGCTTGCCTTTGAGCACCGATGCCGGTAAATGCCAACTTTTTCTTGGCGAAATAAATAAACGCAGACTCTTGACAAGAATAAACGGTGACGACTGGGAAAACCTATTCAGTAATTATCATTAGTCGGTCTGACAGACAGTGAAAAGGTGGTGGATGAAACCATCGGTGTGCAATCCAGAAAGAGTAAATCTTGACTCTCCAGTTACAGAACGATCCCACAAGCACCAAAGTGCAATGTCCGTCAGGGCCAGACAAAGGCAAATCAAACATGGTCGGTACTTTGCAAACATCCAACAACACAGGCTTAAAGTTTTCGTAGTGACAAGAAAGCACTCTCTAGTTTGAAGAAGTTAAGCTTCTGTGAAGCTCTCATGCTTTTAGCATCGGACCCATTAAAGGAAAACACAGAACTGTGAGCTCACCGATAGAGAACAAAAGAGGGTAAAATAGTCAGCTGGTCACAACACCAAGGCTTATATTTCCCTGGAACATTGAATGATTCGGTGGGAAGCAACTAGGTCAAGATCAAGACCCAAGAGACAGTAAAAAAACAATACTACTCTGGGTCTGGCATCAATGAAGATTGCATCAGTTGAGCAGATATCACTGCTATATCCTAGTGGCTGCAGAAATAGCGACTCAACAACAGTACAGTCTTATAATCTCGATCACCAGCCTGAACACTCCCTCGACTTCACCTTCTTTCCCGATAATGGCGAGGCTCTTTCTAATGGAGCACTACAGATTATAAAGAAACCAAGTAGGCTGAAAGAAATAGCTTGTTGTTCAGATTTCTTTTAAGACAGCTTAGGAATTTTCAGCTTGCAACCTTAAGCAGAGAGCAGGGTATAGGTACTATCAATAGTCACATGTTCCTGCAGTATTTGATGCCCCCAGCCATTTACCTGGCTCTCGATACTGCCTCTCGTGCCACTGGAAAAACTGCAAAGACTCTTGAAATACACAACGTAAACCTGAGGTTCAGTGTACTATTCATTAGTTCTCTAGCGGTTGAGTTGGTCCCAACAGAAAACTTCCACAGTGTTAAGACAAAGTTTTCAGACTAGAAACACCAAAGAACTGCACTCGCATACACCCAAGCTCTTTCTCGGGACGTTGCAAAGCAGTTGGCCATGCTGCCAAGAGGAAAAACCCTGCATAAGATTGCGCATGAGTAAGTCTACAGCTCATACACTGGTGCCACCCGGTAGCGGTGCATGAAAACTAAAGCAAAATACAGAAGGAACACCCACTTCGAAATGAGCAAACAACTGTGAGATGTTAGAAAATGGGTGTACGCCTTCCGCATTTGAGAAACTTTTACACCTTGGTAAATTGTAAAATTTACAACCACAAAAAAAAAAAAAAGAAGAAAAAAAAACTTGCTTTTTTGCAAAAAGTATAGCTATAAGATACATTTTCTGGTACTATAGCAGCAATTTGCAGAAGAATGTAAAGTATAGTCGAATGGACATAGTTCACATATGGTACCAGGACCTGAGCCATCGAATGCTTCCCGAGCAGCGGAAAAAAAAAAGCTTTGTCGAAGAACAGTGTTCGACACTATAAAAATTCTGGGACTGCACAATCGAACAGATGCAGGCAAATAGGCCAGTATTCTCCTTTCGAGGACTAGATTATGGGCTACTTGACAGAGAAAGCCACAGTGAAGAAAACAAACACGCTCATTACCTTACCAACGGTCGTAATCCGCAAATTCTTCGAAGCTCCCACATAAACGGTTTAAGCGTGTCATTTTCTTTCCCTCCTTCAGATCCAAAACGACTGACAACAGCCAGTGAGAAAATGCGACTAGCTCAATTCTTCGGTCTTGGCAGGCGTCATTAACTGCGGTTCTCTAAAAAAAAATGTTTTTGTCTGGCGCCATTAAGCCAGACAAATACCGGAACCATGCGTGCACGCTTTGCATGACCAACCAAATACTTTATAGTCCGATGTAGGTTAAGGATAGCGGGACGATCCCCTCGTGCAAAGTTCTCAACTCTCACCCTTAGAAAGGAAGCAACCAACAGTGACAAGCAGACAGCTTTGCGAGAGGGGCTCATCCGACCATGCTAGACCTGCAACAGACGACAACGCAGATCTTTCCGGCCAGGTCGCGTTGCACCAAGGTCGTGTACTTTGGCCCCAGCGCCAAGACGCCTGAAACGCGTTCTAAAATGGCACGTTTAACATCCAAGACCGCCCGCACGTCAAAAGCGGTCCCGAATCGGCAACAAATTATGCCGCAGGAGCCAACGCATCACGTCATCGAACGTCGCAATCCCGCTGGTTGGTCGTAAAAGTTCCACTCTACGATACGAGCGAACGAAAGCGCCGCTGTCGTCGCGGCGTCTTGACTCCCGACCACCAAAGCCTTTGCAAACCGTCTGCTACCCACAGAAAAATGGCATCCGCAGCGTCCACCTCCAATAGCTCAATCTCAATCCTCGTGGTAGCGCAGCTACCACGAGGATTGAGATGTCATCCGGCGAAATTCGAGAGACCACAAACGAGGACGCAGGAAACACACCCGGGGCCCCATGCCGGACGGCGGGACCAAATGGGCCGGGACAACGCCATCTGCTGCGATTAACCTGCGGCGAAGTGCTGACTAATCGCAGCAGACGGCGTTGTCCTGGTCCCGCTGTGTAGCGCGCGGCCCCAGTTGGAAACGCGTTCCAGGCGCCCCAACGGCGCTCCGCCGAAAGTCCGCGGATGCCCTCAGGCTATCCCCAAGAGCGTGTCGCCGTCCCCGTCGTCCGCATGAGACGCAGCCACATGGTTCCTCAGGCTTGACTTTTTGGCGAAGCCCTTGTCGCAGAGCTTGCACTGGAACGGCCGCTCCCCCATGTGGCTCATGACGTGCACCGCCAGCGTCTTCTTGCGCGCAAACGCCATGGAGCACAGGTGGCAGCGGAAAGGCCGCTCCCCGGTATGCGTCAGCATGTGCGAGTTGAGGTGCATGTTCTGGACGAAGGCGCGGCCGCACTCGGCGCACTCGTACCGCCGGTCACTGTTGTGCGTCCGCATGTGGCGGTTGAGGCCGCTCTTGTGGGTGAACCGCTTGGCGCAGCACTTGCACGTGTAGGGGCGCTCACCCGTGTGCGTGCGGCGGTGCACCGTCAGGTTGCGCCGGAAGGCCGTCGCGTACTGGCACAGGTCGCAGTGGAACTTGCGGTCCGCCTGGCGCAGGTAGGAACCTGCGAGCGGTGTCGGCGGCGGGGTTCTGTAGCCGCAAGCGGAAACGCTCGACGCGGCCTTATGATGCTCGTCTCTTGCGTCGCGATTCGTCTGCTGACATTCTTACGGGCTAATGCCACAACCTCTGGATGTTGCGGAGAAGCGACGAGAATTTTGCGACTTGCCACGCCCTGCGGTTCCTAGCCTGTCAGTGCCCAGACTCACACTCGGTCGTCCGACATTAAAGGGGCACTGACACATCAAAATCATATTTTTTTTATTATCCGAAACGATTGAAAACGATGCCGGGACATTACCCTCAAAATTTGAGATTTGGGGATTCAGTATTCGTGAAGTCAAAAAACAATTTCCAAATGCCGAATTCGAAGTTCCCGCGCGATCGGCGCCGGTGCCTTGACGTCAAAAATCGCGGAGACCTGAGAGTCGACTTCCTTTCACCACTCCCTGCTGTTGCCATGGCGACCCAAAGCGAGGAGGAAAGGAGC